TACACCCTTGTTAATCAGCTATCATTTCACACTGTTTTTAGGAATAAATTATGGGTAGGGTTAGGTTTAGTGGTAGGAATTGGGTTAAGTCTGTATTTTTGGAAAGTTATGTTGATCCAGGATCAACAAAAGATGTTGATCCAGGAACATGTCTTACTTGGCAAAATCACTGCGACCTAGTTTTACGCCTCTGTTTCTTTTGAATACGCGCCCTCTAGTGGCAAAAAATTACATATTGTGCCTTTAATATAAAGAAAATATTGAAACAAATCTATTGATCTGCTTTAGAGAGCTCACCAATTATTACTGAATGCTTGAAGAATTTTACAGGTCTTTGGATTTTGCAGTTGTTAGTGAATTTTACTGTGAATCTTGGGTGATGTTGGTCATGAAAGTCTTCCTTGAAAAAGCAGCTTGTTTTCAGTGCCAAATGAGTTAACTCCAAATGAATAATCTAGTCAGAGGTTGTAACTATAGAGCACAAAAAACAGTAGGAGAAATCTGGTAAATTTATACCATATTTGAACCTGAAAAAAAATCTATAAGCAATGTGTACTGTAGGCTATCTAGTAGCTGTCCTCTCATACCCCAGTGTAACATCACTAAATGTCTATTGAAACAGCAATTTCATTTGGAAACAGTATCTTATATTTAACATTGTAAAAAGGGGAGTAGCTGAAATTATTGTTATTCTGTTTGTTAAAGGGCCACTTTAACAAACAGTTGTGATAATTTTATTGATCCTCAGATTTTTTTTTTTTATGTGATCTTATGGCGCACAGGTCAGTAAAGCAATACACATTTAGAGGGCTCTTTAGCTTCTTTTAATAGGAGAAATATTGGAAAGGTACATTCATACATATTCAAAGCACTTGTACTACCTCTTATTCAAACATTTTCATCATATCATTGTGCTGAACTTGTATTTAATATTTCTGCATTTAATGTTTTTGAAATTTTGGAACAGTTGAGGTTTTCTCAGGTTGCTCAGTGAAAGAGTTTGATATTCTGCTTGATATTGGGCTTTTAATTAATGTTGTCCTTACAGTCTTCCCTCTATTAATGCACTATTTAATTAACAACATATCAGTTTTGGTTGCATTAGTTATTTGTCAGGCTTGGCAGTAGTCATGGCCTAATTGTGATAATCACATTTTTCAACCAAAGCACAGACATTAGGAGTGAATGCAAAGGGGAAGTTCCCACCATTATTTGAAGTGAATGTTTTTCCTAAAAAGTATTTCTCTGTTCATCTTTTGACATTGGAATTTAAAGCAAATTTCTGTCAGAGACCTCAAAAAAAAAAACATTTCATGCTGCCAAAAACATAACTATCGTGATATTGTGCATGTCTGTTCACACAACCTGTGATTCTAAAAACTTGTGTGAAGCTTTGTGGAAAACCTGAATGAGGAAATGCCTGAGATAATGCAATAATAGAGGATGTGGGAGAAACCAATTAAAAGGTGGATGGCTGGTTTGATTTTCTTCAGTTACTTTCAGTTTATCTTTTAAATCACTCAGATGGATGGGGAAATATCTTAAATTGATAAACCCAAACTAGTAAATGTACAAATAGTTTTTTTTAACTGAATCAGATACATTCAGATGCTTTCTGAAGACTGAGCTACACCAGACTGTTGAGACAAAAATGTAAGACCAAGGGGAATAGAGGCCTGAAGGACTCAAAAGCCCACAGAGTCAGAAGGAACACTGCCTTAGGAGTACTGTTTGGAAAATGACAAACTTGGAATTTTGAACACCAATCCTGATAGTCGATCTCAGCTCAACACAACACACAGTAGACATTGTTTGAAATCAGTCCCTGTAAAACTGAATGTAAAACACATGCTGTATCATAGATGCTCCACTCCGCCCATAATCCAGAATTGTTTATCCCATTGTTTCCTTAAGCCAGTGTGCAGGCCTGTTATTCCCCATTGGACTGCACAGTCATGCATATTGTATTTCTTTATAATAAGCAGCAACTAAAATAAAATGTTTTCGATAAAACAAAGGTTGTGATGTGTGCTGGATTAGTAAATGCATCAAGTAAGAGCTTTATTTTATTTATTTTTTGCTTTCTAAATGCTTTTGGTCAGAAAAAAAAATGAAAACACTTAAAGTACTTTAACAGCTTTAGAATGAACATACAGTAGACTTACAGGAAATGTGAATAGTGAGACAAAAAAAGCATGATGTTTTGACATATGTCAAAATAATTATAAAATTGAACTATCTAGATTCAAGAACATTGATTTCTGTACTCTGAGGAGATTTGTCTTTCCTCCTGTGTCACGAAAGCATGAAGTTATGCGTCCATGGTTCACTTTCTCATGGCTGTCTCTGAAACATGATATTCAATATGAAAATATATTTTCCTTTCTTGTATATTAATGTACACAATCATGTGAAACATACCTCCATTACAGTGTAGATCCAGTTGAGAAGTTGACTAACATCAGTGTAAACTCCAGGTTTTCCCTCCCGTGCACAGCCCACTCCCCAACTCACTATACCCATTAACTGCCAACGAGATGAAAGGTACACTAGCGGACCCCCACTGTCCCCCTGAAAAAGAGAGAATACTTTAAAGTGACTTGGAAATTGCTTTTTTCTGGATACAAAAACAATGATATACATCACTTCTGAAGGGGAGCCTGCATTTGATTTTTCATTTGTTGTCGTTACCTGACACGCATCTACGTTTCCTTTGAGGAATCCCGCACAAAGCATTCTGGGAGTAATGGCGGAACCGTAAACAGAGGGCTTGGAACACTCGGACCTGTCAATCAGGGGCACCGAAGCTTTCTGCAGCACAGAGGGCAGCTCACCTGTGTAAAATGAGAATGAGGAAATGCCAGAGACAAAACAATATAGAGAATGTGGGAGAAACTGAACAAAAGGTGGATTTCTGATTTAAAACCGGTAGAAGGTCACAGTCCTGCCTTAGAGTTTCCAATTATCCATTAAGTGACAAAGCCCCTTCCTCTTACCTTTCTCCTTGAGCAATCCCCACCCAGTCACCACAAGCATCTCCTTCATAGACAGCTGGTGTGGGGGTAAACAAACTGGCAAGATTGAGTCTAAGGATATACAGAAAATGAGACCTTTAGCCAATGACATTTATTTGGGCCTTTTGTTCTATGATAAACATCACAAACCACTGACTTTACTACTTAATTACTGACATTACTGCTTTCGAGTACTTGGATGCTAGAGTAATTACACATTGAGGCTTCTCAAAGGAATTAAGTAAAAAAATAACCAAAACATACTGTAAGTGATCCTTATTCATGTTTTATGTTATATGTGTTATATGTTATGGACGACCTTTATTTTGTGTGTGTGTGTTTTTGGAGCTCTCTATGAACCATAACCATTAACCGTCATTGTTTGGGGAAGAAAAAGCCACATGGAGCAACATACAGGTTTGGCTCAACATGAGGGTGAGTAAAAGTTTGTTTTTTTAATGGGAGATCTCTTGTTGTTGTTAAAAAAGGGGGTTTCATAAAGTATCTTAAATGTCAAGCTAGCAGCAAAGGAGGGAAAATATAGTTACAGATACTGTAGTGGGACTCAAGCAACTTAAAATGTCTCATATAATATTTAGTCTCATTTTAAATCTCTGATATAAGAAAGCAGTTAATCAGAATGGATGAATGAAGTACCGTACCCCCAACAGTGACAGGCCAAGTGAGTTTTAGCATAGCGATGTCAAAGTCATTACTCAAGCGACTGTAGTTATTGTGGACAACAATAGTCTCCACGCTGACACCACTGGATCCCGTCACTTCGGTCTGACCCAACACCACAGTCCATCGACTCAGCTCTCGTGTCCGGCTAAGAGTTTGTGTGAGAAAGCAATGCAGCAAGTCACAAAACAAAATCTAAGTGGACCAACTAACCTATAGTCATAAATTTAAACAAGTAAAAATTTGTTTTCTTATTGTAAAGAGAAGAATTTTATTAAAAAACAACTGGATTAGGTTTACCATTTAAGACATTTCATTAGTCAACAGAGTTATTTAGGGGAAAAACTGAATAAAATCAAAATGCTTTTGACTAAAATTCTGTTCTAGAACATCTTGCATTTGTGAATGACTTACCCTGTGAAACAGTGAGCAGCTGATATGACCCAGCGCTTGGACAGTAATGCTCCTCCACAAACATGCTGGTGGTTCCACTGAAGACTAACCTGCCACGGCCAGTGTTCGATTGCTGTGTCCAGCCCACCAACAATACGGTCCTCTCCCACCACCTCTCCACAGTCTGTATTAACACAGGGGGGACGTTTATAATAAGAGACATGAAAAAAACAAGATATTAGTATGCTTCCTAATTCCTGAAAAAAGCAAACTGGAAATAAAATTGACATTAAGATTTGAAGTAGAATTAAAAATTAATTGAAAAAAAAAAAAAAAAAAAACTTTGATTTTGAAGTTGAAGTTTGAAAAACTTATTTCAAAGTTTAAAAATGTGAAAAAAAGGCCATTCATTTTCTAAGCTTTATGTACAGATAGAGGGACCATTGTAGAACATTGCCAGAGTGTTGAATGTCTTTCAACTGCAATTCAATAAATTCCCCTTCCTGTCATTCCGGTCCAATTTTTTGTGCGCAGTGGCCAATTAAATTCAAATCCCATGAATGGAAAGGAAGCCAAAAACAATGCAAAACCTGACCCACACACACACCTCAACAGTTTTACCTGAGCAGGACACAGACACCACTGAGCCAGATAAACACCGGTCACTGTGAGAGAGCACATCATTATTTCCATATGTAAATGACAACATGATTATTTTATGTGGAGAATATCACAAATGACCTCATAGCAAGTGTATCTCACCTGACTGAGAGGGAACTCTGGATGTCAGAGTGTGTGGAGTTTTTGCTGACTGTAGCAAATGCATCTTGAGGGTTGAAGAGCAGACTCCTTACCGGGATTCGTGTACTTCGTGGACTCCTGTAGTGGAATATTTCCTGAATAAACACTATTTACTGCGATCAATGGGAAGATGATCAGATTTCTTAAATGTTGCAATATGACAGCACTTACATATGGTTTTACAGCTTAGTTTACTAATGGTCATTGGTTTTAAACTATTGTGCCGTGTGTGCTCTACTTACACTGTATAGCCCAGTTGTTGACAGGCTAACCGCGTGTGCTTTGTCCTCCAGTTATCAGCACACACTGTTCTCCATCCACCTTCATTATTGAACACCTGCAGGACCAGTCTGTCCCCCATCAGCCTCACTACATCGGTAAATATAGATGAATCACATGTTCGCCTACAAATTCATCTTTAATAAAGCAAGGCCAGGGGACAGTTAAAAATTCTCAAAAGTGGTGTAAAAAAAAATAAAGGTTCTTTATTGGCATCTCTGGTTCCATGAAGAACCTTTAACATCAGTGGCACCCTTCCATTTCACAAAAGCTTCTGTACAGTGGAAAAAGGTTAAATACATTCTTACATAAAAGGTTCTTATTTATATTTTTAAACATGTTTATCACATTAGAAATTAATAAGAAAATAAAAATAGTTATTTTAATAACGGCTGACTATAAGGTTCTTTAGAGCAGTGGTTCCCAACCCTGGTCCTGGAGGCACCCCGATTAGGGTTGGAGCTAAACTCTGCAGGACACCGGCCCTCCAGGACCGAGTGTGGGCACCCCTGCTCAAAGACCTGAAATTGGTGTGTCAGAGAAAGGAGACATGCAAAATGTGCAGTGTTGGGGTGCCTCCAGGACCAGGGTTGGGAACCACTGCTTTAGAGAACCCTGTACGATGTTCTATGGCATTGCATTAAAAAAAAACTTTTAGGAGCCTTTATTTTTAAGAGTGTAAGTGTGCATAATCACCTGGATACGTGTCATTGGTCCTCAGTTTGGATACACATGTGATTTCATCCTCACCGCCTGCACAGTTAGCCTTTCCATCACATGCCTTTTCTATTGAAATGAACCTCAGTGAGCCAGAGCAGAAGAAAAACTTGCTATTCACTATCGTAACGGCTGGAAAGTATACAAACAAACAACAAACAAAGATCATTTTCAGAGAGAATGTTTTATATGAAGTGGTCAAAGTAATAAAATGATTGTCATATAGTGATAAGTAATTTACAATGAAGAAAAATAAAGATGGCAGAGAAAGGAGAATGGCATGGCAATAGATTCTTACTAAAATACAACCCCACTATCAAGGTCGCTAGTATCACTAGCACACAGCACACGGTGATAACAGTCGATCTCCAGCGTGCTCTGCTCTCCTCAGTCCTCAGTGTGCTCAGTTCTCGCCTTCGCTTTAGTCTCAGGGCCATGAGAAACCAGAGAGAAAAAAACTGATAGAAAGAAATCTAGCCAAAACAGTGGATTTTACTGGTTGTACGCCTAAATATATTCTGAATAGGTTTATATGTGTGACTGGTATTATTATCTCATAGTTCTAATTAGTGAATCTCACCAGGGTTCCCATCATATGAATGACTAACAGCAGACACTAGCAAGGTTTAGGGACTCCCTATATCACCTTCACTCAGCTGATCTGTGTTAACTAATCAGTTGATGGCAGGTTTTGATGAGACTTTGGCTGAATTCAGAACAGCACTACTAGTTCACAAAACAGCTTACTAGTTCTGCCACATTTGAGTAGTAGCCTATGCTAGTATGCTAATGGAATTCTGAATTCAGCCTTTGATTTCATATTCGGCTTAAATGTAATTTTTATAATTTTAAATTCAGAGAGATTATTTAACATGAAGAGAATTTGTCAGCATGATACCAAATACCTTAAATAAGTAAAGCAGTAGAGAATAATTTTTTTCTTGAATGACAGGTGTTGGTTTTTATTGCTCATTTTTTGGCATCTAAAAGACACACCTTGCTGAATAAAAATTATGACATACAAAATACCAAGGTTTTTAAGTACGTCAGACACCTGATGCACATTTGCCAGTTTTGTATTAGAAATTTGAGACACTATTTATAAACGTGATTGTGTTTTGTCTGTGAAATGTGTTAATGTGTATGTGTGTGTGCAGGTGTGTCCATTATTCCCTTCTTTCAATTAATCTGTGATAACTGATGTTTGTACTGTCAGTCTAAATATATTCAAAAACACTCAGACTATCTTGCCTTTATTCACAAATTGTGTGGGATATTGTGTGAAATGTGATCTATGTGTAAACATACTTGTGTGATAGAATGACAGTCTGATGGAATCAATTTCTCAAAGTTTCTCAATTTCTGTTGTGATGGAAAATTCTGTTCTCTGTTTGTGTATCTGCATTACAATGTTTCTATTGACATGTTGTTAAGAAACTCTGTTTAAAAAGGTTGCCTGTTAAACCAGTTAAACAGGTGAAAGAGAGAGAGAGGGAGAAATGAGTTACTACAGGGTGAGTTTGTCCTGCTCTGACGATGCCACTAGCAGGTGCATGACAGAAAAGAAATACATAGCTTAGGTACAGGTAGAGTCTTCCTTATCTCTTTAAACGGATACTCATCAATGGAGCACAGACAGGTATGAATACTTTAATACCCAACAAAATGTTCTCAAAACAAACATGGATATATAGAACAAACAATTGTATTTCAAGAATGTGATCAGTTTTTTTTGTGGTTAGTTTTGATACAACTCTTGTTTTGTGATTTTGTTAATATATTATTGTGAATGTATTAGCATCATTTTGTTTCTCATCAGCTTGTGTGTAACACTACAGTTGTCTTGGTATTGTGTCCTAGTTACCTTAGTTACCTGTAATAATTATTAACACGTATACATTCTAACTTCCTTGGGTAGAATATTTTAATAGAATTAGTAACCATTTGGTTATAAAAAAAGTAACAGAATTATAAAAATGAGGCATATTACATGTGACTGAGTGAATGATTCACTGTGTGAAATATATAGAGCATGTTCCAACTGGATGCTGTTAGAGAGAAGATCTGCAACATGCCGTAAGAAGGAAGGGCAGATTCTGAATCTTACAGATCAATCCTAGTAAAAAAGAAAAGAAAAGAAAAACATTGTGTTTAACATCAGAATTCACAGTGTCATTTATTGGACGTTGGTCATTGAGAATTATTTCAAACGTGATTTTTGTGAAATCTAAGAATGGAACAAATATAAACCACTTAAATCATCTGGATTTGGTCAGACTTACAATAAATGCCTGTCACTGTAACTTACATCCTGTTGGGTTCAGTACACTATGCATGGCAAAAAAATAAAACAGTCTAGTATATTGCAAGAGATATTGCAAGACACTAGTGAAAAATAAATGTACTAATATGTATATGAAATACTTTTATTTCATGCTAATTATACTACAAATACATTTACATATTTATTTGCTTAATAAAAATACAATGCAATTGTACTGTTGTTATACTAAACTGGTATACTTAAAGTCTAATTCTGCACTTTTTTTTATTTTTGCACGTTAAATGTGCAGAAGTAGTGCTGAAGTCCAACTAAAGATATACTGAAGTATATTTGATTGTGCTAAAGCGGACCTATTGCAAGTGTACTCCAGGTACACTTTAAATATCTGGCATTTAAAGACTGATATTGTTCAAAGATCATACAATCCTCATCAATAGTGACATTAAACACATTTTAGGCTTAATTTTAAGAAAGTAGTACTCCAAATACATTTTTATTATAATTTTTAAATCAGTAAGTCTCAAGCAACATGCCAGTAAATATGTTAATAGATTTGAACTATATTTAGAATGAAATAAATGTATTGTAAATATATAACTTTTTTACTAGGGGAGGGTAGCAGTCATCTGGTATATATGGGAACCAAAATAAATATAGTCCTACGCTACTTTTGTGTGTAGTGTACACATCTATTAGAAAACCAGTTAATGATTAATGGGTGATATAATATCTGGGTTATATAAAAAAAATCGCTTCATTATGAAAAACTACAACAAATTCAAGATTTGTTCAAATTCAAGGCAAACAATGCGCCTATGTATATAATGCATTTAAGTGGCTAAGATGTCTGAAATGCTCTGTTAACTCCATGCAACATCTTGTCTTTATAATATATATATGTATGGTATGTCTGTAGAACAGGTGTGAGTATGGGCACTTATTTGGCACACTTATTTGAATATGGAAAAGGAGGTTCATTGAATCACACATTTGGTCAGGCAGGACTAAAAAAGTAAAGGGGATTTTGGTTTCACCATCTTCCTTCACCTGTTACCAAATCCCCATGCAGTCATAGCCAGAGTCAAATCCTTGCTCAACAGTGTGTTGTAGACTGATGTGTATCAGCAGGTTTGTGTCTCACATGGTACTCCCCATCCAGATTTGCACCACAGACACATTAGAATGTACCAAAAATCAGGATTACAATTTTTTAATAAGGTTCTAAAATGTTGTCATTGTTGGAAGAATTTATTTGAGAGAATAGAATAATTGTGCCCGCTGATGGTGAGGAGGTGCTTGTATTATATCTAGAGAGAAATGTATATGAATGAATATACAATACTGTGACGAGAGGGGCGGGGCCGAGAGCCGTGGGAACGGAGCCTGCTGCCATCCGCCATGATGGGGAAGAGCAGGGAATGGGGGACTCCTGCCGACAGCTCCTCTGGGTTCGGGCAGCCGGCAGGAGTCCCCCGTTCCCTGCTCCTCCCCATCATGGCGGATGGCAGCAGGCTCTCGGCCCCGCCCCTCTCGTCACAAATACATTGACAAAAGTATTGGGACACCCCTTTCTAATGAACAGATTTGACTACTTTAGTAATTTCCATGAGTACAAAGAACTTGACTGGTCTGCAGAAAGGAATGTCCTAATCTGAACACCTGCTGAATACCTCTTGTGTGACTTTAAATGCAGAGTTTTTGGCTCAAGGTCTGCATTTAAAGTCACACCAGAGGTGTTCAGCTGGGATTAGGACTTTGCTTTCTGCAGACCAGTCAAGTTCTTCCACACCGACTGAATCAATCACTTCTTTTTGATCCTTGCCTTATACACAGAGACATTGTCATGTTAGAATAGAAAAGTGTCCTGTCTAAACTATTGCTAATTAGAAGCACACAATCTCCTAGAATATCATTATATGCTTTAACATTAAGATTTGTACTCATGGAAATGAATAAAGTAGTCAAACCTATTCATTAGAAAGGGGTGTCCCAATACTTTTGTCAATATAGTGTATATTAAAATTATAACTGTATATAAATTATGACAATATAACACGGTAATATATTTACTAAATATATGACAAATAATTTATTTTAAGGTGAATTCTGTCCTTGTTAAACAGAAAAGCAGCTCCACTGCATTAAGCAGAGCCTTGAATATCAGACTTATCGTAAATGTCATGGCGGATGGCAGCAGGCTCTCGGCCCCGCCCCTCTCGTCACAAATACATTGACAAAAGTATTGGGACACCCCTTTCTAATGAACAGATTTGACTACTTTAGTAATTTCCATGAGTACAAATAACTTGACTGGTCTGCAGAAAGGAATGTCCTAATCTGAACACCTGCTTAACACCTCTTGTGTGACTTTAAATGCAGAGTTTTTGGCTCAAGGTCTGCATTTAAAGTCACACCAGAGGTGTTCAGCTGGGATTAGGACTTTGCTTTCTGCAGACCAGTCAAGTTCTTCCACACCGACTGAATCAATCACTTCTTTTTGATCCTTGCCTTATACACAGAGACATTGTCATGTTAGAATAGAAAAGTGTCCTGTCTAAACTATTGCTAATTAGAAGCACACAATCCCCTAGAATATCATTATATGCTTTAACATTAAGATCTGTACTCATGGAAATGAATAAAGTAGTCAAACCTATTCATTAGAAAGGGGTGTCCCAATACTTTTGTCAATATAGTGTATATTAAAATTATAACTGTATATAAATTATGACAATATAACACGGTAATATATTTACTAAATATATGACAAATAATTTCTTTTAAGGTGAATTCTGTCCTTGTTAAACAGAAAAGCAGCTCCACTGCATTAAGCAGAGCCTTGAATATCAGACTTATCGTAAATGTATGAACAATTCATTTGAACTCTGATTGACAGTACAGATATGTTTACTGTGAATTTAATTTGATGACAGATGAGAGCGAACAGTGTTTATAGAAATATAGATTAATAAACATCTTCCATTTATTTTATGAATACAGACTGAGTCTCCTCCCTCATATGATTCTGTGGTGAATCACAACACGCCTCCACCTTCATATCCGAGTCTTCAGACATTGTCAGCCACCCAAGTCCAGCCGTACTACATACCACAGCCAATACATCAAACACCTGCTCCTTGTGTTGTACAGACAAGTAATATTTAATAGCACATTCTACCTATACACGAACAGGTCTTAAAAACATGGTCATTAAAATAATTTGAGGGATCATAATTAAATAATTAAAATCTTTGTATCTGTATTAAATAATTATTAGCATTTATGTATTTGTGTCAATAGCTATTGTTGTTTTCTTTCTGCAGTCCCAACACAGAGAGGTCAAGCTCCCTCA